TGCTTTGCTCTTATTTTTCTATGTTCTCAAAGTGAGAGGTTAGATTATTGATTTGAAATATTTCATCTTTTCTAATGTGTGTATTTGTACTATAAATTTTCCTATCGTTACTGTTTTAGCTCCTAGAAACTTTGATATTTTTATTGTAATTTTTAGTCAAGTCATTGTATTTTTTGTTTTCCCTTGAAAATTCTTTTTTGACTCATGGGTTATTTAGTAGTGTGTTGCTTTAGTTTCCAAGAGTTTAGAAAATTTTTTTTCTATTGCCTTTCTGTTATTGAGTTCTGTCTTTATTCCATTTTTGTAGGAGAGTACTCTGTATCATTTCAGTTCTTCTAAATTTGTTAGATGTGTGTTGTGGCCCAGCATATGGTCTATCTTGGTAATATATAAGTTCCATAGAGACTGAAAACAATTTGTATGCTGCCATTGTTAGTTGGAGTGTTCTAAATATGTTGGTTGGTGGTGGTATTGTGTTCTTCTATATCTTTGCTGATCTTCTAAGTGTTCTATCAATTGCCAAAAAGAATGTATATACAGACACTATAACTGTGTTTGTCTTTGTCTCTTTCAGTTTACCAGTTTTTGCTTGACTTGTTTTGCAACTCTGTTGTTTGGCACAAACACACTGGAATTGGTGTCTCATTGGTAGATTGGCCTGTCTGCCATTACATAAGGTCCTTCTTTGTCTCTAGTAATTTTATTTTTTCTGTAGTATGTGATTATCTGATATTAATATAGCCATTCCTGCTTTCCTTTGATTAATGTTTGAATGATAGATCTTTTTTATTCTTTTATTTTCCACCTGCCTCTATTATTATATTTGAAGTTGGTTTCTTATAGACAGCATTCTTTTTAAAACATTATTTGTTTTTTGTTTGTTATCCTTGTTTCTTATTGCTCTGTTTTTCCTGCCTTCCTGTGGATTACTTGAACATTTTTTGGAATTCCATTTTGATTTATCCATAGTGTTTTTGAGTATATCTCTTTATACAGCTTTTTTTAGTGGTTGCCTTTTTAGTGGTTGTATATGTATTTTATCACAGTCTACTGGTGGTGTCATTTTACCAGTCCAAATGAAGTATAGAATCTTTACTTCCTTTACATCCCTTTACCCTCCCCCATTTATAGTATATCTGTCTTAAATATTACCTCTACACATAGAACCACAACAGGCAGTGTTATAATTTTTGCTTCAATGGTAAAACATAATTTAAGACACTCAAGAAGAAAAGGAAAACCTATATATTTGCTCATATTTTGCTTATCATGTTCTTTTTTCCTTCCTGGTGTTCCAGTGTTCCTTTTATTGCTTCCTTTGTGTTTATAAGACTGCCTATAGCCATTTTTTAGACTAGCCCCGATGGCAACAAATATTTTATTTTTCTTCATCTGAAAATCTTTATTTTTTATTCCTGAAGGGTATTTTCACTGGTTGCAGGAAACTGAGTTGACAGTTCTTTTTTTCAGCACATAAAAATACCTGACCATTTCTTCTGGCCACCATAGCTTTTGATGTAAAATATGCTGTCATTCTAAGTGTTTGATATCTGTAGATGAGGTGTCATTTTTCTCTGGCTGTTTTGTAGATTTTTTCTTTATTCTTTGTTTTCAGATGTTTAATCATGATGTGTCTTGGCATAAATTTCTTCAGGTTTATTATGTATGGAGTTTAGTCAGCTTCTTTAAATCTATACATTATGCTTTGGGGCCAGATTTGGGAAGTATTCAGCCATTATTTTTTAGGGCATATTTCATCCCTGCGCTCTTTCCTCTCTCCTTGCAGAACTCCAGTGACCCAAATGTTAGATGTTATAATCCATAGATCCCTGAGGCTTTGTTCATTTTTTTCAGTCCGTTTTCTCTGTTATGCAGATTGGGCAATATTTATTGCTGTATCTGCCATTTAACTAATTTTTTCTTCTGTACCTTCAATTCTGCTGTTGAGCCCATCCACTGAGCTTTTTTTTTTTTTTTTTTTTTTTGGTTATTATATTTGTCAGTTCTAAAATACTTACTTGGTACTTTTTTACATCTTCTAATTTTTTGCTGAGGGAGACTTTTTCTTTCTTTCCTGTGGCTTGCTATTTTTTTATTTGCCCCAAACGTGTTCATAAGTGCTTAGTGAAGCATTTTTAAAATCACACATGGTTTAGAATCCTTGCCAGAACATCCTGTCATCTCAGTTGTTAGCATCTACGGATGACTGTTTACATTCTGTTTGAGATCTTCCAGGTTCTTGGTATGACAGGTAACTTTGGATTGAAGCAGGATATTTTCTTATTCTTCTCTGAGATCTTTGTATCTTATTTAAACCTTCTATTTTAGTTGACTTTCTCTGACATTGCTCCATAGGAGAAACAGGAAAGCACTGCATTTTTACCGCCATGTGGAGGTAGAAATCTAGTTTCCCACTTGGACTCTGCTGACATCCAGAGAGTAATTACTGCTTGGCCAGAGTGGGAGTTCCAGCTCTTGTGTGGTGTCCACCAGTGGGGGTGGCCTCATTGGTGTTGATCAATGGTGAAAGTCCTAACTCTCTACTAGGCCTCCCCTGATAGCACCACAGTGGGTAGGGAGAAGGATACCTCATTACTGTCTAGCTGGAGTAGGGGAGGGGGTGGATTCCAGGCCCTCCACATGGTCTCCACTGACTTCACGAGGGTGGGATACCTTGTTACCAGTCAACAAGATGAAAGTACTGTTTCCCTATTTGACCTTCTCTGATACCACCCTGGTGAGGATGTTAGGGTACAGCATTACACCTTGATTAGGATCTGATGTAGGCTTCCCATTCATACTTTCTGGTGTGAGTAGGTGGGTCCACAGTTTCTCTGTGGTGATGGCTGGAGTACAATAGTTGTCCACAAGTTTTCTGTCTTGCTGGGCTGCACCTTTCTTGGTTCTTTGGCTAGAGAAACTGGGCTTTTGTTGGGGGATTTTTTTTTTCTACACCCATTAGTCTATCTGGGTTGCTAGCCTCTTTGCTTCAAAGTCTAGGATATATGAGGCAAAAAGATAACTCTGGGAATGCCATTATGTTGTTTCTTAGGCCCTGGGGTTGTTAGCCAGTCTGCCTTCTGCTTTCTGCCTCTCAGAGTCTTGTTATGTTTGTCTTACATATAGCGTCCAGATTTTCTCAGCCATACTTAATAGGAGGAATATAGAAAAGTATGCATATAGTTAGAAATTTTAGATAACATTAGATCTGTCTCTCCTGGTGAATTCAAAACTTAATTTTAACATACTGTTAAGGAAAACCTTTGTAACGAGATTTTAGCAGGGTCTTCCTTAAACCACTAGGATTAATTTGTATTTGTAAGGAGAGAAGTTGTCCTATTTTATTTCATTTTATTTATTTATTTATTTATTTTTAGAAAGAGAGAGAACATGAATGAGGGCTTGGGGGAAGAGGCGGAGGGAGAGGGAGAGAGAGAATCTTAAGCAGGCTCCATGCCCAGCATGAAGCCGAAGGCAGGGCTTGATCGCACAACCCTGAGATCATGAGCTGAGCTGAAATCAAGAGTCGGACACTTAACCGAGATACCCAGGTGCCCCAGAAATTGTCCTATTTTAAATTAGTGACAACACTTACAACCATTATTCTTAGGTAATCTTATTTTGACAGAAAAATAAAGTTATAATAATTATGATGTGTAGAAAAATAAGTATATTCAAATATACTTCAAATGCTTATAATTTTAATGCTCTCATATATATCTTACCTTGTTATATTCTTTTACAATTAAGTGATGGAAAACAAAATTGTATAGTCATAAAATCCAAAATGTTTTTCGAAAGTAAATTATTGTTCTCAATGACTATACATGTCTATATATCTCCAAAGTACCAAATTGGTATAATTAATTCATTGAATATTTATTTAAAACATTGTGTAAAAAATAGCATGTTCTGTCATTGCACTAGAAATATAATGATGAGCAAAACATACACAGTTCCTGCTTTAATCAAATGTGCTATTCTTTTACAATAAAATAGCAAAATAAAAATGAAATCAAATCTTCTATGAAAGCATTTTATGTGTTTTTATGAATAGTGCTGCTCAGAAAAATTAGAATATTATCTCTTGAATATGTTACTCCAAATACTGTAGATAGAGAAAAACAGACGTCTCAAACGGTGGCATTTATCACCAACGTTTATTGAAATTAAATTGAAAACAAAAATTATATCATGAAACATTCCATTGATATACAATGAACAGATTTCAGTAGATTCTGAAATATCTCATGGATTTTAATACCAGTTTAGAGCGCAGCATAGTTTAGACAATGTTACTCCATGAAGGCCGTGATTGTTAATGGTTTATATTAGCTGAAAGCGGTAAAATCATCCAAGGACTCTCTTAGTGTTAGAATAATAATTTACCAAGATAATTACCACATACTGGAATTTTTTGCAGCTCTAATTCAGTATTATTAATAATGGATAAAATTGCACTTTTCTCAGGTTGCTTTGGGCAGCAGGGAATTATTTCAATGAATATTTCAGCACATTATTTTAATCATTGTTCCACCAAATCCAACTGGGCAATATTTTATGGTTCTTAATTCAGTCTACTAAGAAACCGTGGTCATTAAATTGCAAACTATTTGTAGTGAGGTCTATCCTATGATTTACAAGCCTTGTTAAAAACAGTGTAAAAGAATGAAAACTGTGCCATTAATACTTGTAATTTGATGCTGCATTTGTTACTAAACTCTCCATGATTAATGTTTTCAGTAGAAAGAAGAACATTGTAGAGAAAGCAGAACTGAGTATTACTGGGCTTAAAATATGAGGATGTTACTATTTTAAGTTTTGGTCATTTGTACAGGAAACATGTATGTAAACATAATTGTAAAAGATAAAGATCTCCAAAATCATCTTAATTTTCCTTTGAGACCAAGGAAATAAAGCTTTAATGTGGTGTAAAAAAAATATATTTCCCATTTTACATTGTTATTAATAGTGATGACTGTTTATTTCCTCATTCCTAGCCAACTGCATGATTTCTGGCGTTTGGATTACTGGGAAGATGATCTTCGCCGAAGGAGACGGTTTGTTCGTAATGCATTTGGCTCCACTCACGCTGAAGCCCTCCTCAAAGCTGCAGTAGAGTATGGTCAGTACCAGCGCCTCTTACACAAAAATACTCCAGATAGGCCATAACTCTGTGGTTGGTAATTCATTTTTTTCACTAACACTTAAAATTCTCCATGTTGTAAGTCAGAAATACTGTGTTCTGCTTCATCCTTCAGTATCACGTAGGTGACACTTCATCAACCTAGTTCTTTGCCCATGGTGTATGTTAGACCTTTCAGATTCCTAATAGAGTAAAAGACTCTGTATAACTGGTTGTTACCCAACATCCATCTCATACTGCCTAAAACAAGAGTAAAGTGAGTTTCTTTTTCAGTGTCTTTTGAACTTTGGTGACCAAGACACAGGTATAAAAAATATATACGATTATAATTGCACACCCAGACTTAAATATTTTTATGTGTAATTTGTATATGTGTACACACACTCGTGTATACTGTGTGAATATACATAATACATGAAATATATATGCACATACGTGTGCTGTTTGTCTTTATATATATATGCACATAATTGTGTATTGAACTGAAACAAATGCCTTATTAATAATCTCATTACATGACATTCTCTATTTTATTACTAGTCTATTCTTTTCAGTCTAAAAAAATAAAATTAAAATAAATCCTGCTACAATATGTCCATTTAAGTTCCCAGTCCTCCATTGGGTTGCAAATAAAGTTTAAAAAAGACCATCTCACATTAAAGATATCATCAACTATCACACTACAGTAGAACTAACCCTAATTTGTCTTTTAAAAACTGTATAACAAATAGAAAACATCAAAATATTTTTGTAATTTAATAAAAAATACTACTATTTTTATTAAATTAATACTTGCTGTCTACCAAGAAGTATAAATAGGACTATTTTGTCCCATTTTTAAGTGCTCTAACAAGTTTAAGTGTGATTTACCATCTCAAAATTTTACAAACTCTATACACTCAGAAAATACCATTAATGAATACTGTTTATACATTTTTGTTATTAGCCACTTTTATTCTTACAATTACTTTTGTTATTATTAGGTTAATTTTCATTTACTTGAGTGTGATAAGTGAGCCATCTGTTTTAAAATTTACCATAGTTTATAACATTCATAACTATTCATGTTCTTGATGGATTAAACAGAAAATACTTAATCCTGATAAAAAGAAGATGTGCAAAGCTGTTAAAATTTGTTGTGCAAATAGTCTGTGAATTGATATAACTTAGTAAGAGTCAAACATAGTTAAATAAATACACCATTATTTCATATGAAGCTATTATGCCTAAGATAAAAGTTACAACATAACTTTATATGGTAAAAGTAACTAACAGAAAGATTATACTAGAAAGAAAACTTATAGTTGACCAGTACTATAGGGGATTTCTTTAATCAACAAGAGAGATCACCAAAGGGATTTTTAGCCCCTAAGGATTTAAACTTAACCTGAGGTATTATAATTATGCTTAAAATGAGGTATTATCTTTATGCTCTGTAGAAGAGATTTTTAGAAATACCTACTTCAAGTGGCATGCTTTGTAATACAAACTTAAAATTTTTTAAACTTCATTTCGTATACCCAATAATTTAGACTTTTTTACCAACTCATCCTATTTGAATTCATCCCATTTGAAAATAGAAACATCTAGAGACAATTTGTAACAGAGTTAGGCTAAATTGATACTATTGGTAATAATGAGTTGCCAAGGGTTTAATTATATAGGATCCACATTTTACTACATTCAGCATTCTATAGGTTGCTTTTAAAGATTCTCTTAGAAAAAAACTTTTTTGGTTCTCTATAAAAGTGGAAACTTTGTTTAATTTATAAAATATCTCTATTATTAAAGCATTGTTAAAGCCTATCAGAAACAAATTTTAAAATCTTTTACCTTAAAATCTTTTAAGACGTCTGATAGGTTATAGTAACATAGTAACTATTGTTAATGAACCTAAACTGAAAATAGTAGTCTAATTTTGAAATAGATGGAAGATGTAAGTGATCCTAAATATCCTCTGTGTGTGGTATAAGAGTATTTTAAAATATGTAGCAGTTTATGAATTTTAAATACTGAATCATCATCAGTATTCACAACTTACTATCTCTCTTGAGTTGGGGTCTTTGATAGAAGGAAACAGGGGTATGTTTTTATTTTATTCATATCTAGAACAAAGACCACGTGTATGCCATAAAATATTCAGGAAAGCTATATGGTACCCATGCCAGAGTTATTATCACATCATTGTCAGGATTAAGGTCATGTGATGGAAGACAAAGGAGAACTAAAACAATTCTACCTCCAAAAACAATTTAAGAGCATACTCCTTCAACCTTCATCACAGTTCCCATCAGTGGACTTTTGGAACCATGCAAACAGTAGGTAGGGAGTAAACTATGGAGGATTGTCAAGAGTGAGTGGGAAAGTACTCCCTGGTGTGATCTGTTCATAGAAATAGAAGGAGGTGGGGCACCTGAGTGGCTTAGTCAGTTAAGTGTCCAACACTTGATTTCAGCTCAGGTTATGATCTCGGGGGTTATGAGATCAAGCCCCACATGGGGCTCCATTCTCAGCGGGGAGTCTGCTTGAGATTCTCTCTGCCTTTGCCCCTCCCTCCTTCCATCTCTCTCTCTCTCAAATAAGTAAATAAATCTTAAAAAAAAAAAAAGAAATAGAAGAAGGAATTACAAACTGCTAAGAGAAAAACGTGATATTGAATCATCCTCCAAACTCTTAATATGCCTCCTAACCCATATATAAAGTATTTCTTCAGAAGAAATAGGAAATAAATATCAGTAATTATTTCAAAGCACTTTATCCAATAAAAATAATTGTTGAAAACCTTAATTGAAAACACATTTTGTATATTTTAAATAAAGCTTTTGTATTCACATATTGCTAAAACATTCATATAAAAGTCAAAACTTCAGCCCATCATCTGGCCACTCTGCCTGCCTTTGCACATTTAAATGTGTTTAAGTATCTTAGAGTCTAGCAGTGGGTAGACTAATACCCAAATGATTGAATGATTGGGTTTGTGTAGACATAGAAAAAGTATATTTTTTGTATAAACCTTCACATTTTGAGAGGGCTTCTAGGACAAATTGAAATTCAATGTGTTCCTTCTTCTATGTTAAATAATTATACTATTTCAATTTCCCTATGCATTCTATCTTGAAAGTTAAGCATTAAATGCACAGAAACTCTGCTATAATCTCTGGTCAAAAAAATTTTTGTATTCCTCTACATTGTGGCAACAAAATTCTTTTAGGAATGGAAGGATATTTTATGAGTGGAACTTTCAGTATGGCTAGAGTGTTTGAATCAGTGATCAGAGTTTTCAGAATTTTAAACAGGTTGTACAAGCTGAGGAAATAACCTTCAATTACTTCAATAGGGAATACTTACATGGCCATCAGAGCAGTCCCTGGATTTGAATACTGGTCAGGTCTCTCTGTTCATTCCTGGTATACTCAGTTTCAAGACTCTGAGCCTGGACTCATGTAATAGAACTGAAACTGAACTAGCAGACTTAATATTTTATTTAAAATTTTTAGAATCACTTGATTTTTTCCTAAATTCAAACATTTCGATTAAATTGTAGTTAAACTTTCATGGGATGGGCAAAAATATTTAGCCATAATTTGGACATTCTTTTCAGACAATTTATGTGGAGCCACAAAGTAAATATCTTAACAGGGCTTTCTTTTATTTGAGCAAATAATCAAATCGGATATATTTTCAAGAAGACAAAAAGGACAATAATTTTGTTTCATACTGACTTTGGAAAGCTTTCCCTCCGATTTCATTATAAAAACTTTTAGTTGACCTTTTTCTGTTAGAAAACATCCTTAATACTGATGGAGTTTTTCATGCTTCTTAGTAATGCTAATGAGTTGAATAATTTATGAGGTTGTCATGTGCAAAAGATTTGGTGTGATTTGATATACTTTCAGCCTTGGTGTTGGAATGTGATTAATAAAAACCTAGAGGCATGTGATTTTTTTTCCTGATGTTTAATGTTCTAATTTTGTATGTATTAAGTATGTTATTTAGGTGTTTTCTAATAGTAAAATTTCATATAAGTGCAAATTTAATTGATGACTAGGAATTTTACAGACCATAAGGAAGAATATAAGGAAAATGTTTTAAAACTCATAAATACATCTTCTGACTTGCAGGATTTTCTTCTTCAGGGCAAATTAGCTAATGAGGAAATGATTGAAAAGGGAGGTTTTGTATATTTATATGTTTAAATAAAACCTCGACTGGTCAACTCGTAGTATATTTCTGGTGCTTAAAGATGATGCTGTCAAAGGATCGTGCAAAATCTTAATAAGTTTGGTTGTCTTTGTTGACTGTCAATTATCATTTAGGACTCTGTTTCCCTTGCATAAAATTATAGTGGAACAATGTTTCATCAAAGCCTAAGATCGCAAGCTCCCCCATGTCTGTGATCAAAGACATCATCTTAAATAGGTCTGATCAGGCATTGCAGAAGAGGGCAGGCTGCTTCAGCTGGAAGAAAAAAAAACATGGAGCAAAGATGACAAAGTTAATCAGTCATTTCTTTGGCAATAAATAATAAGATATGCTGAGAACTGCAAATGAGAACATCCTTAGGTTCCTCAGAGATGTGTCTGCTTAACACCTGATTTATCTAAGCTTGTGAAGCCATCAAGACATGACCTTGATGAATAAAAAGCAGCTCTGTAATGAATCTGGAATTAAATTAGTTTTGATGGTATATGCATGGCTACTGTAATGTGCTACTTGCAGAAATAAGGAAAGCGCTGAGAATAAAAAATTCTAATGCATCTATAAAAATTGTTGAGAAAAAAGCTAATTATCTGACTTCGTTTTAAGAGTTTATAATTATTATCATATTTGAGAAATATGATTTGGTTTTTTTACTAAATAGCCTATTGTTTGTCTTTTGTAGAAACACTAGCAAACATCTTACTGTTCATTGAATACTCCATTTTAATTGGTATATTATTAATTGACTCTCCATACCTGGAAGGAACTAGATGATCTGA